CAAATATCATTAAGTCTGAAAGCAAGTCAAAACAATCCCAAGGGCTTCTGTCCATACAGAGGGAGAATTACCTTTTTTTTTTTTTTTTTCTAAATCACAGCTTTGAAAGGATTTAGGAGCAGCAGCGTTCTCAGGAGGTTTGTATAATCTAGGAATCCCCTTGTTTCATATAAAGCAATTCACACTAGATCTGAACACTGGCAAACAGTCAGCTAAATCCATTACCGCATGATAATGCTCAAACATTTCATTAATTCCTAACCAGCTGTCCTCTGCTCCCTTTCCCCTTTCATCATACAAACATTTCTTTAACTGTCTAAGGGAGGGGAGAAGGGAGGATCAGCCGCAGCCTCATAAAATTCTTTTGCCTGCTTGGCCTGAGGCAAGTTATTTCTTTTGACACGCGTGTAAAATAATATTGGGGGTGGTGTTTGTTTGGCTTGGCTGGATGATGAGTTTTCATAACAATTTGGTAAGCCAAGTACCTGTGAAATGGAGTACAGAGAACTCATGGCAGCTTGTTGATGAGCCTGCCATCTGGTTGATTAACATCTCATTAAATAGGGAAGACCCCTTACCCCTGCATCTATGCCAAGACACAAGGCAAGGTGTTTGGAGCAGGATGCTGCTCTCCAGTGATTTGAGGTCCTGTAGGTTGTTTTTAAAGTCTTCAGGTACTCCACGCCAAAGAAAAAGAGGGGAAGCAAGGGCAATCAAGGGATCTGTACCTTGGGGGGGTTCTCCAACCACGTGACTCAAAAAAGTGGATACGTGCACACCAAGAGCCAGCAATATTTTAAGATGACATCTGGATGCTTTCTTTAAAGAAAGCTCTCCCTGAAGAGCCTCAAATCTGTACACGTTGCCTAGGGACCCTCCAAAGAACGGGATTCACCACCCTGCTGAGGAGGGACATGAGAGGAGTGCTCAGGGGTTGTCTCAATCCTGCTCTCAGCCTCACTCCAGGGGCTTTTCTCCCAGTCCCTCTCTAGGGCAAACGTAGCACACGTCTGGACAACACATCAGGCTCCTGTCTCACACTCATTCCTCCCCTGCCAAGACATGAGAGTGCGTTTATTTATTATGGGTTAGATATTTGGAGTTGAGTAAGAACCTCAGAGGGAAAAGGTGGGTCTGTTTCCTTGGATTTTTTTTCTACCCCCTTATTCAGTATGAAAAATCACATGTTTTAAGCTAAAATGTTTGGTTCATGGAAAATTCCCCTTTCTGACTTTAGACTCAGCTAAAAGCTGAGAATTAACAACTCCTGAGTGAAGATAACATGAGGAAATACAGTGGAGAAATATCTGTACATGTCTGGACAGGTCTGAACATTGCCAGAACAGGTCTAAAATGTCAGACTGAGGTAAGGATCACACTTCACCACAACAATAGGGAATAAAAGGACTGAAAAATAAGTACTTTTAAATTTTTTTCATTTATTTTAAAATGATGTGTCAAAACATGAGGTAGCTGGGGCTGCCACAAATCTTAGGTAACAAGAGGCACATCTTAGAAGCTGTAATGATATCTTGAGATCCTTTATTGATGTTTTTAGGTGTATTAGAGTCTCAGAATTTCCACTAAAGTAATTCAAATTTATTTTCTTACCACAGAGCCATTAGACATTTCTATAAGTATATTTTGTTTCTTCTATAGAAGAAATTTTAATGTTTTGTTCATGTGTATCACCGTTTTGATACAATGGATGTTGTTTTACTGTCAAGAGTAGGCCATTATGGGTGTGTATCCTTTATCTTCACCATTTGGCTACTTAAGATAATTATTTTGCCACTTTTTGTGTTTATAAACATCCGTAGTATGTCTTAAAAACCATCACTCTTTAAATGGACTTAGGACATCCTCACCAGAGGATGTTTAATTTTGTGAGTTGTGCATGACTGATCATGCATGCTTTTCAGCCCTTGGTCAGAATTAGCCTAAAACCAAAAGCATACTGATAACAGCATTATAGAACAAAATATTGCTTACCTTTTTTTTTTTTTTCCTTCCTTAAGGACTTGTAATAGAGTCTCTCTGTTAGACTCAAGATTCATCTTGCTTTTTAATAGATGCATACAGTTCTCCCAGTTTGCCTTCTGTGGTTTTCCTTTTCTGAAGTCTGGTATGCTTTGTGGTTTATTTATTCATGAGTTGTAGAAAAAGAACTTCACCATTAAAAAAATTGTTTTGGAATATATACTTAATGGTGTGTCAAGAAACAGAAAACAATTACACTTACGCAACGTAACGTGCATTTTTACATGCCACTTGCAGGCTGCTTTATGTATCCCCAGTTTATGTAAGTAATGAAAATTAAATATCATGCTAGCCTGCACAATGCAGTCAGCACAATTAAAGCTAAGAGACCTTAATTGGGAATAAAAAACACACACCAGCACTAAAAATACACAGTCTTTTATGGCAAGTTTGCAGAGGGCTCTTCCAATTTGGCAGGGCTATGGCTGCCACAGGGAATAAAGTGTTTTAATGTCCTCAGAGTCACTGGGCACTATGTGTTGAGGGTTGTGTTCTGCAGATGTGACAAATACATAATAAATGCCACATGTCACCCTCTCCATGGTGGCCTGGCACATACCCCGTCACAGAACTGGGCTGGACATGAGGAGAAGCAGCTCATGGCCTCCGGTGGGCAGAGCAGCAGGGGAAGGTGGGAAGGCAAGATGGGACCTTGACTGCAGCCAAACAGGAGGAAAAGCTATTATTCTACTTGATGATGAAGGACAATTTCAGCAACTTGAAGACAGCACATTTGCAGTATGTCAGGCAGAGAACAGCACCCACTCCTGCACTTTCCAAATTGTTGGTTTGCAGCTGTACTTGGCACAACTTTGCCTCAGAGGAGCAAGAGGGTCTGCGCTCTGTTTCTGTGCAAATGCCCACTACCTTGGCAGGGACAGTGCAGGTAGAGCCTCCATCTGCCCTCAGGTTGCCACTCATACTTCTTTTCCAACCAAGAGCCCCTCTTTCAACCCAGGAGCAGTGCCAACAGGCTCATCCTTCATCCGTGGGCAGAGGCAAAAACTCCTGCTCCACAAAGTGGGGAATGAGATGCTGCAAAGAAGCATTTCAGAAAGGGCTCTGAGGGTCCTGGTTGATGGCAAGATGAATATGAGTCAGCAGTGTCCTGGCACCCAGGAGGGACCAACTGTGTCCTGAGGCCATTGGGCACAACATCACCAGCTGGGCAAGGGAGGGGATTGTTCAGCTCTGCTCTGCTCTGCTCTGGGGTGGCTTCACCTTGAATATTGTGTGTGGTTCTGGGTACCACAATATAAGATAGAAAGCTATTAGAGAGCAACCAAAGGAGGGTAATGAAGATGGTGAAGGGCATTGAGGAGACAAGGAATACAAGGAATGGCTGAGGACACTTGGTCTGTTCACCCTGGAGGAGACTGTGGGGACACCTCATTGCAGTCTATGCCTTGGGGATGGGTGTCTCAG